AGAGGAGGAACGGGGAGAGGGAGAAAGCAGGAACGGGAATGGGGAGAGGAGGAACGGAAATGGAGAGAGGAGGAAAGAAAATGGGGAGAGGAAGAATGGGAATGGGGAGAGGAAGAGGAGGAGAGGAAGAATGGGAATGGGGAGAGGAGGCACGGGAACGGGAAAGGAGGATGAGGAACGAGAGGAAGGGAAAGGCACGGAGGGAGACGAGCGAAGGGTCGGGAGCAGCAGGGTGCGAGGAGGATGAGGAGGATGAAGGTGTCAGGAGGACGAGGAGGATGAAGGCGAGAGGGAGATGAGGACGAAAGCGAGAGGAAGATGAAGATAAGGAAGGGGCGAGAAACAGACAGAAAGGATGCAGGTATGAGGAAGATGAAGATAACGAAGAAGAGAGAAAAACGGAAAGGAGGAAGGTACGAGGAAGATGAAGATAAAGAAGGGGCGAGGAAGATGAAGAAGCAATGGAGCGCAAGTGGCAGGCAGAGAGAAAAGAGCAACAAGAGGGGCGAGGAAGAAGAACGACGTGAGCAAGGCCGGAGGGATGAAGATGAGGCAGGTGAAGATGAAGCAGAGACCAAGAGAAAAAACAGAAAAAAAGAAAGAACAAGAACGTGAGGAAAGACGCGCTCCCCAGAGAACCCAAACCCCTCACGGAGCCTGAGCGCCCCTCAGCCCCCCTCAGCCAAGCCGCCCCGAGCCCCCTCAGGGCCCCGCCATCCCCTCGGAGCCCCCCGAGCCCCGCTCGGGACCCCCGTGGGAGCGGCTGGGAGCCGCATCCAGCCCCGGAGCCGCCCCGGAGCCGCCGCCCGTCCCGGGACCCCTCAGGGCCGCCCCCCCCTCACCTCCTCCATGGCCGCGGCTCCGCTCGCGCCGCTCCCGCGCCGCCCTCTGGAAGCTGCTAGAACCCCGCGGCCACGCCCCCCGCGCCCCATTGGCCGCGCCGCCCCCGCGCGCGCTCCCATTGGCTGCCGGCCGCACCGCCGCCTTCCCATTGGCCGCCGCCTGGCAGCGGGGCGCGTCCCACTTCCAGATCCGCGTCAGGGACCTTCCCTCCGCGCGCTCCCATTGGACGCGGCTGCCCGGCGCTGGGCGCCCATTGGTTGAGCGCCTCGGGGACTTCTGGAATTTTCCTCTTCTCCCATTGGCTGCGGGGCGGCGCGGAGCGCAGAGCGCGCGGGGCGGGGAGCGCCCCCTGGCGGCGCGGAGGTCTGGCTGGGAGAGGAGCGAGGGGCGTGGCTTCCGTGAAATGGGCGTGGTTTGCACAAAGAGGGCGTGGTTTGCACGAAATGGGGCGTGGCTTGCACGGGGGACACTCGCCCGTGGCCGGTGGGAGTCACGGAGGTGAACCCGGGATGTCCCTTCGGGGGAGTGGCGGTGGAGAGTGACACACGCGTGACCTTGGCAGGGCCCTGCTGTGACCCCCCCCCCACTCCCCTTCCCCTCGTGTCCCACTCCAACCCCCCTCCAAAGCTCGTCCTGCCCCGAGGGGTCCCCGTGCCACCACCCCCGGGACCTCCCGTGCCACCCCCACCCCTCCCGTGCCACCCCCCATGTCACCCCCACCCCAAATTTTCCCTCCCGGACCCCCCCGTCCCACGGGAAAGAGGCGCCGGCAGGAAAAGGAGCCGCTGGGTTTATTGGGGGGGGGGGGCGCAGAGGGGGGATTTTGGGTCCCCCTCGGCCCTCTTGGGTCGGTTTGTCCTGATTTTGGTCCTTTTTCCCCAAATCCAACGGCAGGGGCGGGGGGAGGGGTG